ATATATATATATATATATATATATATATATATATATATATATATATATATATATATATATAATGTGTGTGCATTTTACGAATCCACCAGTCCAATAACAATGTTATAAGATAAAAGTCGTTATAAGATAACGTCATAAGATTAAAGGTTAGAGAGACTGGATTTGCAGTTTATGCGATAAGATCTATTATTATTTCCGTTTTTTCTTGAAGGAAACTGTTATACTTTAACCAACAGTAAGAATTGAAGAGGCAAATAAGGAATACAGCACGAATGCTTAGTGCTATTAAATACTAATATTACTTTTATATAATATTAATATGATAGTGGGAGGATAATTATGTCCAGCATGTCAAACACACGTATCGAAATTTTTCTTCGATTAACGTACGCGGCGCATCTACCTTTCATACTTAGACCGATCCTTGAGTCCCAATTTTACATATATACGGTGGGCCATTTTACGGGATCTACTTAAATTTCCCCATAGGTAAGCCAGATATAGAAAAATAGTTAAGACAAAACTTGTTCAAGACAATGGGGGTCATCTTTCTCAATAAATGAATTTGACCTTGAGGTCAAATTTCAAGGTCATTTGGAGGTAATAGTGATTTTTTTAAATGGGACCGCCTACTTTTGATACCGGATTCGAAGAGAGCGGGAAATTTTACGTCAGAAATGATATTTTTAAATTTTTTATTTTGATCTTCAGAAGGACAAATCAAGGTTTTAAAAGCGTTCAGAAGCTGTTTGTTTAAATGCGATTATCTTACTTTTAGCATTACCCATAAACAACGACGTGGACGTAGTAAGTTCTGTTTCCTTTGGGGTACTTGATTATCGTGAGTTCCCTTGCCTCTCACGTTTGGGGTGCTTGTTACCGTGAGTCCCCTTGCCTCTCACGTTTGGGATGCTTGTTTACCGTGAGTCCCCTTGCCTCTCACATTTGGGATGCTTGTTTACTGTTTACTTGTTTACTGTTTACTGTTTACTTGTTTACTTGTTTACTGTTTACAATTATCAACTGTTGCAATAGGCACTTATGCAATAGACACTTATGCAATAGGCATTATGTTCGTATTCTTTTACTTATTTTAATGACGGTAATGAACAAGATTGCATTTGCCTCGATTCGATGCTTTCAATTCCCCAAGAAGTTATTTCTTCTATTTTCCAAGAAGTTATTTTTTCCGATTCTCTTACATCTAGTATTTTTCCTCAGCAATCGTTTAGAAGCAAAACGCGCTACACTCAGGAAGTCTTTAGATATTATAAATGTAGTTGTTGGTTATCTTTATCGAGTGTAAAACAATAATTAACATTCATATATGTAAACTACTGATATAAAAAGATAATATATTCACAAGGTGAAGCAAAACGCTCTACATAGTTTCGTACAGTCGACACAGTTTATACGGGGTGTCTCAGACCTTTATAATCATACTTTGTGAGAACGTCGAACGGATTGAGGTGAGCAAGAAAATCCTGTGCCGTTTTGCGATATTCGCAATAATAGTCGAGATATTAATTAAAAAAGATTGGTGAATGATCACGCGCAATATGGTAGATGAGCTGCAATGGCGCCGTCTGTCGTTGCATATTTATATATTAAATCAAACTGAACAAAAAAGTCTTTTACCATTTTGTAAATTACCATATAGATTTTTAGATATTAATTAAAGAAAATTTATGCATTATAGTATACAATCAAATATGTAATAATTTCCTTTAATATTTAAAAATCTATGTGGTCATTTGCAAAATGGTAGAGGACTTTTTTGTTCAGTTTGACTTAATATATAAGTATACAACGGCAGACGGTCCCACTGCAGCTCATCTACCATATCGCGCGTGATCATTTACCAATCTTTTTTAATTAATATCTCGACTATTATTGTGAATATCGCAAAACGGCATAAGACTTTTTTGCTCACCTCAATCCGTTCTACGTTTTCATCATGGAGGTTCGGGACACCCTGTATACACATTAAAAATAGGACTTTATGATTTAATTTATGGATCCAGACAGCACAAAGACGTTTTAAAAACGTATTAAAAACGTACGTACTGGACGATTTGTACGTCCATTTCAGATCCACAAATATTTTAATAACACGTTGTTACTTTTATGGATGTTCAAAAGACATCCGAATTAAGGATTCACTGGACTAAAACTGGACGTTCTTAGAACGAAAATAAAATGTTTGTAATTTTGAATATTGAATGTTCCTAACCACCAAAAAAATATTTAAAAAACATTTGCAAAAGCATTTTTAAAAACATTAAAAATAATATCCAGACAGTACAAAATATTTAAAAATATTTACAAAATATTTATAAGATTTATTTAAATATTTTGTAAATATTTATCAAAATATTTCATAAATATTGTTATGATCTTAGCTTCAATAGATCATAAATATTTATCATAAATATTTACATTTATATGTTCTTTTCTCTTTTCTGAACTTTTCTTAAATTTTTAAAATATATATGTTCTTAGTTTTCGCTTTATATTATTTCACACATTACTTAATTCAAGTTAAATTTTACTTCAAAAATTTGCTTACCATTGTCGAGATTTGAACAACCTGAGACTTTTGGTTCTTGAGTCATTCACCTTATCTACTGCGCCACTATCATTATCACTGAGAGACGCTTTGTATTGTATACATATGGTATATTCATATACGAAAACAAATGACTTATTTAAAAGAACATAATAGAAATGTTTCAAATACAAAATGTATGTTTGAAAAGTATGTAAAAAGTATATTTAAAAAATATTTACTTGTTTCAAAAGTAAATAAAATACAAATAAATTATTTTGTAAATTTAAATAAATTGTTTTCTGATAATAAAAGAAACTCTAATTTGAAACACAAAAAAAATACTTTTAATATTAGAAAATAACTTATTTAGATTTATAAAATGATTTACTTGTACTTTATTTACTTTTAAAACAAGCAAATATTTACATAAACATAGTTTTTATATAAAAAAAACTAATTTTCTTCTTGTAAGGAAGTCATTTTTTTCTAGAAATTTATAATTTTACAGCTCACTTCATAAATTTAAAAAAATATTACTTTATATTTATTACATATTTTCTAAAATCTAACAAATACTTTTTTAAGTTAAGAAATTATATTTAACAAAATATATTTCTTTGATTGAATTTTTTCAGTATACATTACCAATTCAAATTTTGACTTTATTATTTTTTTATTAATTTAATAATTATAAATAACTACATTTATTTTTTATATATAAAAATTTATAAAAATTTATAAATATTTATAAAAATATTTACAAAATATTACTACAAATATTTATTTTTTGTTTACTATAAGTATTGTATAAAATATTTAGCCTATATTTTAATAATATCTTGAATAAAGATTTTGATACTTTTTTCTTTATGTACAGAAATATTTATAAAATATTTATGTAATATTTTAAAAAAATTATTCGACTTAAATATTTATGAATCTTTATCATAAATATTATGTGCTGGGTAAATCCAATTTTTTCATTAAAAAATGTCCTTGACGGATTGGAAAAATGTTATGTTTTTTTTTTTAATATTTAATGAATGTCAAACTTCTATTAAATATTAAAAAACGAAACATTTTTCAAACGTTAAAAAATGTTTTTCTTAATGAAAAATGGGAACATATCCCATTATTTTTAACGTTTTAAAAAATGTTTTATAAATGTCTTTAAAATGTTTTTAAATGTTTAAATGTTTTTATTGTTTTTCTAGTTTCTTATTAATAATGCAAATTGAGAAGTTAATTTGTTCGCAACTTTCAAAAACTCGTAATGATAACTTTTTCAATGGAACTAACCAATCACATCATCGTTTGACAGATACAATTGTTCTAATAGAGAAGATAAATTTAATCAATTGTTTAAATTCATTTGTGTTGGTGAAACTGGCTTATACTATTAATAAATGAATGCATATGCGAGCTCAACATATGTTCCTTAGAAATACATAACATGGACGTCTTTAAAACGTACAAAAGTATTTGTACATCTACTAATGTACGTAATTAAAACGTATTTTGTACATCCACTAATGTACGTAATTAAAACATCCATATTAGGTCGTCCATGGATGTTGGGACTAAATAAAAACCAAAATTGGACGTCCATTGGACGTGTGCTATCTGAGAATATTACAAGTATATTATCATTTGCATAACAATTACGAAAACATGACCTGTCGATAATTGAGTAAGATAATATACATATAACAACATATTTAAATAATTTAAAATAATAATTTAAAATAAACTGTAATGATTCATTTTATGTATGTGTTTTTA